AAGGAAAAGTTTATCTACTAGATTTTTTGCAGCCAATTTCTCGAGAACGGTTTCGTCCTGCTCTTAGCGGAAGCACAACTGTGCCGCGGAGCCCAGACAATGAGAGTGCGACAACATACCACACAGAGGCCCGCAGTATCGATTGGTGTAGATCATTACCATAAAAAAGCTAGAAAACGACAACACTCATGCCACCTCTATGATAACAGACAATGAACAACTTCCACACAAATTTGACAAGAAAAAGTCATAGTCCTCCAGTCGGGGCCAAAAAAAAGGACCACCGGATTGCTCTGCGGAAAGGATCGCAAAAAACGCAGGCAGCAACCAGGGCCGGCTTGGGTCTGCAGCGGCTTCCTGAGTGTGGTAGTCCGATAGCACCGACTGCGCTCATACTGTATGGTAAGGCCGATGTCAGACTTTGCGAATCGCGCGATTCGCTAGCGTCCGCGGTCGCGTTGCGGTACCAGCCAATTGAGTGATTCACTGGCCGCGACGCGAATCGCGCGATTCGCAAAGTCTGACATCGGCCTTAGCCACGCCACTTGTTCCACGAAGGGAGTTCAAAATTGGGCATTTGATCGATTGATTTTCTCTTATAATTGTCGATTGCGTTGATCTTGCTAGAAAACGAGACTCGCTTAAAACCTTGTCGGGAAAAAGATGGAGACGATTTCTGTTGCAGCAAATGTCAAGGGGGTGGGGGAGGGGGAGGAAGAGTAATCTGTTTGCGATTGTGCTGCTGACCGACAGCATTGCGCCATATCTGAAAAACCTGGACGCGATTTTTCCCAAACAACGACTTGCGGGGCCAGCCGATGTACAAGTCAGTGTTTTATCCTCCCAAACAACTCTGGTACCAATTACCCGACTTCGGAGGGATGGAAGGCTTGGTTGGCCCAAAAGAAGGCTCAGTTCTCATACGGTAATATATCACTGTTATGGAGAGCTTCCCATGCCGATCAGGGAACAAGGCTAAATTTTATCAGTCGCGCCCCCTCATCTTTGCTCCTCTTGATGAA